GAGCCTCATATACCACCACACCAGATACGATCTTCACAGGCCCGTTACACCGCCACCGGCTGTTCTTTAATCATTCCGATGGTGGACCAGCCACACAAACCTGCTGTCGGGCGTACCATTTCACCCACAGCAGCCTCTCCACCAAATCACAACGGATGCCTCCTTCCTAGGCTGGGGGGCCCACATGGGTTCCCTCTCGGTACAAGGCCAATGGTCCCTACAAGAAGCAAGGTTGCACATAAACCTTCTAGAGCTTCGTGCTATTTTCAACGCATGTAAATCCTTCCTCGTCCACATTCGAAATACCACTGTGACGATACTTACAGACAATATCGTAGCCATGTACTACGTAAATCGCCAGGGCGGCGCTCGCTCCCGTTCCCTATGCACGGAAGCTATCCGCTTTTGGAACTGGTGCATTCGCCACGGGGTGACTCCTTTGGCATCCTACTTACCTGGCATCACAAACGTGACTGCAGACTTCCTCACCAGACACTTCCACTCAAAACACGAATGGGAAATGCACGACTGCATACTACGTGACATCTTCCAACGTTGGGGGACTCCCCGAGTGGACCTCTTCGCAACTCCCGCCAACGCAAAAGGCCACAAGTTTTGCACCAGAGTGGGCCTGGGCCGCGCATCTCTAGGGGATGCCTTCCTCGTGACTTGGCGCGGACCCCTCCTTTATGCATTTCCCCCCATACCTCATTCCCAAGGTCCTTCAGAAGCTGAAGGCGGACAGGGCTACGATAATCCTCATAGCCCCAGATTGGCCTCGCCAGCACTGGTTTCCATTCCTGCACCGCCTCTCTGTGTGGACACCAATCCGCCTTCCGTCTCTCCACGACCTCCTCGCACAAGACCGAGGACGCCTGAAACATCCCCAGATACAAATGCTGAACCTAACAGCATGGTTCCTAACTGGCTGAACCCAGGTGAATCTCTGCTCTGCCGCAGTCCAAAACGTCCTAGTACAGAGTAGGCGACAAACCACGAGAAACTTACCTTCACAAGTGGCACGGATACTCCTCCTGGTGTACCTCGAACCACCACGATCCGACACGTCCGTCCATTTCCTCCGTACTGGGCTATGCACTGCATCTTAAAAAAAAAAAAACAAAAAAAAACAAGGGTCTTGCGTTAGCCTCCATCAGGGTGCACCTCACAGCAATATCGGCATTTACTTCACCTATAGATGGCGTTTCTATCTTCGCCCATCCTACGACTAAACGATTTCTCAAGGGCCTTACCAATATGGACCCACCACGCAACCCAGTCCCTCCTGTGTGGAGCCTGGACGTGGTACTCGACACCCTAATGAGGCCACTGTTTGAGCCTCTGGCGACCGTATCCTTACGATACCTCACTCTGAAAACGGTTTTCCTGCTCGCAATAACCTCTGCACGCAGGGTTAGCGAGCTTTCCGCCATGATGGCCATTCCACCATATACGATTTTCCGTAGCGATGGGGTAGTCCTGCGATTACATCCGAGGTTCCTACCCAAAATTGTCTCCAATTTCCACGTTAACGAACCAGTCATCTTGCCAACCTTTTTCCCAAAGCCCCATGCCTCGCCACGGGACGTGGCCCTACATTCCTTGGACATCTGCAGGGCCTTAGCGTTCTACATAGATCGTACTAAACCGTTCAGGCTTACGGACCATTTATTCATCTCCCTGGCACACAGGTCAAAGGGTCAACGCCTATCTTCCCAGAGAATCTCCAATCTCGTAACGGCATGCATAGTGCAATCGTATGCAGCAAGAGGGTTGCCCCTTCTGTCCCAACCACATGCTCATTCCACTAGAGCCATGGCCACATCTACAGCATTCCACAGAGGCGTATCTCTGAAGGACATTTGCAGAACGGCGACCTGGTCCTCTCATGGGACCTTCGCTAAGCAGTATTCTAGTTTTATCTCTCTCTCTCTCATTCAGATGGGGCAGTGGCAACTGCGGTGCTCTTCACGGCAGATAAATAGGGTCTCCTTTCCCTCCTTCCACTTTTGGCGACTACCGCTATGCAGTCACCCATAGTGGAGCACCCGTGGGGACATCCCTGAAGAAGAAAGTGAAGTTACTCACCTCCGGTGCAGTAACTGTCATTCTTTGAGGTGGTGTCCCCGCGGGTGCTCCACTACCCGCCCTCCTCCCCGCTTCGGAGACCTCTCTCTCTCTCTGCTTCTCTCTTTCATACTCAGTTACTCACCTCCGGTGCAGTAACTGTTGTTCTTCGAGGTGGTGTCCCCGCGGGTGCTCCACTACCCGCCCTCCTCCCCACTTCGGAGTCCTCTCTCTCTCTCTGCTTGTCTCTTACAGACTCCGAGGCGGTTTCGAGGAACTGGCGGAGGGGCCGGACCGCGCGACAAAAAGAGCGCGAAAGCCGCGAGCCTGCGGCACATGCGTGGTCCGGCCAGACACTGCTAACAACAAGTCTCCGTCTGCGGCGCCGGGGCAAGCCCAGCACCCATAGTGGAGCACCCGCGGGGACACCACCTCGAAGAACGACAGTTACTGCACCGGAGGTGAGTAACTTCGCTTTCCAGGGAGATGGCATGCCCCTTCCCCCAAGTAAATTGTATAAACCCCTTTATACACGCAACCAAAGGAGATAATCGATACCATTGGAATAGTACAGGATTTCTAAAACAAACTTGTTTAAATCCAGAAGCATTGGTTCAAACTAAGGAATAAATTCATGGTAGTTCTAGTTTCTCATATCTTTGGGTGAGTGAATGGCCCATTCAGAGGAAGTAGGGATGACAAGGGAAACAAACCCATTTCTTCTCCCCTTCCTGGTGGGAATGTGAAGACTACTTGGAGCGGAATATATATGGTTCTTCAAGTACTCCACAGATGGCTGTGGGAGGAACATTAAGCACAATTCAAGGCTAGTTTCATTAAAAGAGGCTCTGAACTCATGGTAGACTTCTGCTTACACTTGTCCCTTTTCCCATTCCCAACTTCCTGACATCTGTCTCTCTTGGGATTAGAGAGAGTTACATTTCTCTGCTTTTAATTAAACTCTTAGTGGGGGTTTGTTTTGGACTGCTTGTCTTTGAAAAACTGTTCTGTGTTGTTGGCCCTGTGCACGTTTCCTGTAAATAGAACAAAAATGGCAACTCATTATTTCTGACCCTTGCTATTTAAGAAAAGTTCAGAAAAAATTAACTCTGCCACATGTAAATTCCTGTAAACATGGACATATAAAGTCAGTTCAATTATAGTATTATTACAGAAATGTATAGGGAATATGTAACTTAGCCTAATATAATCAGTGTCTGTAAAGTCGGGTGGGGGTTGGTTTTGTTTTTGTTCTTTGTAGAGGAAGGTTGCTATAGTGCTTGGAAAACAACCTTCAGATACTTGGCTTTTAATTTTGTTTACATCAAAATAAATTATTTGGCACAGCTATTAATTTGTTTTAATGTCCCATATCCTTCCATTAATTAATGGGCATCTCGCTGGACAAGATTTCCTTAAGAAGTATTGCTATTCTGCCATTTGAAAGTTGGTCTGTCTGGGTCCGACATATTTGGTAATTCACAGTTTTTTAAGAAATATTTCTTACTCTGTTAGAATTGTTACAGAGCTGGAATAGGAAAAATATTGGGGGATGGTAGAAGGTACTTGTGAGTATATTGAGTTTATAACATCTTAAGAGCAGGAGAGGAAAAGTTACGTTATTTTTTTTCCCCCTAGACTTTTCATTTTCATTTCTACCACTTCCATTCAGATCACTTTACATCAGGCCTAGGCAAAATACACTTTACGGGCCAGATCCAGCCCACTAAGCCACTAGATCCAGCCCGTGGATGCAGCAGGGAGCCTCAGGCAGACTCCTTCCTTGCCCCGCACGTCCCCTCCAACACCGCTTAGAAAAGCTGCTGCCATAGCCATTTCTTTCTCTCAGTTGTGAGCCTGAGGGCGGAGTGGTGCTTACACTCTGCTCCCACCCCAGTGCAGTCCTGTTGATAGCATGTGAAGCACCACTCCCCACCTCCTCTCAGGCTCTTATTTACCAACGCACATGGACCTTGCAGCCAGTACAAGGGCGGATCAGGCAGGGAAGCTGCCTGAGAACTCTGCTGGGCTTCTGTCCATGAGTCAGTCAGTCTCCTGGCCATAGCCTGCCTCTGGCACCCACGCGTCTCCCTGCCCCCAATCCTTTGCCCCCTCATTCTTGCCCCTCTACCCCACATAAACCAGTCCCTCAATCCCATACTCCCATCCATATCCTGCACCCCAATACCCCGACCAAAGTCACAACCCTCTCCTGCCCTAGTCACAACCCCCTGTACCCTTCCTACACCCCAGTCCCCTGCTGCAGGTCACAACCACCTCTTGTCCTAGGACCCAATCTCCTACCTTGCGTCACAACCCAAACCCCAGCACCCAGCCCAGTGCCCCAGGTCACAACTACCTCCTTCACCCAAATTCCTTCCCAGATCTCACACACCATTCTGCACTCCAATCCTTTACCCCAAGCTCCCTTCTGGACCCAACCTTCATCCCAGACCCTGCCCCTCCTCCATTAACGTCATGGAAGAGTGCAGCCATTGACCACTTTCCAGAATCTTGGTGTGGCCCCACATCAAAAATTATTGTCCACCCTTGTTTTACATGCCAATGTCACAGAACATAAATATTTAATTTCAATCTAAATTCTTTGGATTTTGACCATTTTTCTTTTTATTTAAGCTATAGCTGACAAGAATGAAAGCACAAAGCATACTATTGGGAACAACTTGATTTCTCCTGACATGGACTACAGAGGTGGCTCATCTTTAGAACTTTCTCCATCTGATAGTTCCGATGGAACATATATGTGGGATGAAGAAGGTTTGGAGCCCATTGGGAGTGTCCATCCATGTGGAAGTTATGAATCTTCAGAAATGAACAGCATAGTATGTATATGTTCTTAAAGCTTTTTGAGATTGTTAGCTTAGTATTTTACAGACAGTGTTAATTTTCATTGAATTCTTACATTTTCTCATTACTCCTTAGTATATATTTTACAAAGATATAAACTACACTAGAAACTCTGAGCCCACCTAACAATAAATGACCGACAATAAGAATATTTTATTCCAGTTATCTGAATTCCCTTTGTATGAAAGCCCTAGCTATCCAAATCCACAGTGTATTCTTCATGTAGTCCTGTGTTAGTTCATAGCACTTCTGTTTATCTGAATGCTTGGGTTTTGAAAATTGTCAGATGCCCACCAAATGTCGATAAATGAGTGTTGTATAGCTAATTGCATTTAAAAATAATTAGTGAAATATTTAGTATCTCCTTACTCCTGAAACTGTGGACTGAGTTGATTAGAGTATCACCTTCCTCTTCCAATGTGATGCTAAAGGAATAGCAATGGGATTATTTTCCTCCAATTAGCATGTACAATATTTCCTGTTAGCCTAGGAGCATAGAGGATGCATAGTTGTTCTCAACTCCTTCAGCCTAAGGTTTGTCCTAGGGAAGAGGAATAATGGGTTTCTCCAGCCTACCAATCGATTAAATAAATTCCTTTAAACCTATACTTCATTTCACTGTCAGCAAGTTTTCTAGATTATAGGATACCTGTTTTGGAGACAAACTCTAGCTCCTCAGTAGGACAGAGCTTTAATATCTTTAGAGTTTTTGTGTATGAAATGGGCACCTACAGTTCTTGGCTGCTTGCTATGTAGTAGGAGGGAACATATGCCTTCATCTGAGACTCCATTTCCAGAGTAGGTGCAGGTGGCTTGCTGGTAGTATGGTTCTTACCTGTTTTTTGTCTCAATCTGAAATGTTGTTCAGTCTTAGGGGAAGAGTTAAGCAACACTGCTGACTCTTTTTACTTACGTTTAAGGAGCCAACATCTGATTTCCTAGAGGGCTACAGAGGCATTTCACAAGCTTTACATTATTTTTGACAAATGTTTGTTCAAGATGCAGTGTTTTGCTCATCCTTTGCTTCACAGCTGATCCCATCCAGAAGAAGTTACTTTTTCTGGCTTACTGAACTATGGACAAATGTAACTTGCATGAATTTTCCTCCATGTAGGAGAGTATGTGCACAAATGTAGTTAGTATCCACTGGCAAATAAAAATGAAAAACAAAATCTAGCATATTTTTGTAGCAATATCACCAATATGGGTACAGTTTTTAATGTTAAAACAAATTCAGAAACTGCAACCAGATAATCATCTTTGAGTCTGACTTAGTCATACTACAGAAAGTAAGCAGGATCAGTCTTGATCAATGCTGGGAGGGGAGTCCTCTAGGGAAGGCTTGTGTATTGAAGTGGTGTTGGTACTAAGAAGCTGGTAATGCTGCATAGTCAGTGCTCTACTCTGGTTCTGTGGACGACTGCAAATGAAAGGTATCATCTTGTCAGAGACTATAAGTGTGGGTATCTCCTCTTTTGGATCAAGGTGTTAGGTACAAGGGCTGTGTAAGTTTGTGACAATCACTTCTGGTTTCCTGTTTGTATGCAGCAGGTGTTCAGATCATTGCCCACTTGAGAACTAATTTTGTTCTTCCTTCTTTTGTTTTCCCTTAATCAATTTTGGACTGCTACTTTTCTGAGTGCTCTTGGAGAAGCATTTCTTTGGTTCCAGGTTGATGGTTGTCGATGCCATTGTAGGATTTTGAAATTTTCTCAGTTCTGCTGATCATTGTTATTGGCAGAGGCAGATGAAAAATCCAAGTTGAAATATGGTGCATGAAGTTGGAATAAAATGTCATGACTGATCAGTATATCAGGTGTTCCTGATTCCTGGGAGGAGAATGTGCTGCTTGTAGTATTATAGGTTCTTCATTTTATATGAGATGGGAGAAATATTTTAATACTTTGATACAGGAAGCAGTGAGAGATCTTCCTAAAATTGTCTTTCAGACTAATATGAATGTACATAAAGGCTTTGATCTCCTTAGATAAATTGCTGAATAAATGTGAAGAATCTGACTGTAGTTTTTATATTTTAATTTGGTTCATTTCTCTTGTTTTTGAAATGTTAATGTTAATAAATGATTTACACAAATGGAAATCTTTTGCATCACTCAGTTCCCTCTCTGGCTGGACATTCACCAGTCTGTTGTGTTTGAAGACCTCCCTCATTGTACCCTACATGCTCTTTAAGCTTCCTGAGTGTGAACAGAGTTCAGACTTGGGATGTAAGAGTTTAACCGGTTAACCTTACCAGTTAAGCCCAGGAGTCCAGCCCAGTCCACGGCCTATGGCTGGGTTCTCTCACTCTTGGCATGCAGGTCCTATGTCTGGCATTCTCTGGTCAGACCCAACAGTTCAGGTGCCTAATTCTTGATCGCTGTCTTTCCTATAGTTTAAGTAGTGATGTTAGGGTATGGTTGAGTAAATGATCAGAAGATAAGACTGGACTTATCAGTTAATCCTATTGACTATGCACACTTTGCTTCCCCTTGCTCCTGCTGTATCAGTCAGCAATGGGGGCAGGGTGGGAGCTAGTGCCCAAGGGGAGCTGACTTTTAAGCTGGCTCCCAAAGATCACCCAATCCTGAGGAGTCGACTGCCTCTGATAGGCAGCAGCACAGAGAGCGAAGGGGGCAGGCAGGAGCTGGTACATGTGAGGAGCCATCTTTTAAGCCAGCTTCCAGTGAGCACCAGCTTTGCAAAGCTGCCTGTCTCCCCTGCCCCCATACTGCTGCCTCTGTATCGGCAGCAGCACAGGGGTGGGGGACAGGCAGGATGCTGACACAACCCTGCCTGCGGGGAGCTCAGGCTCCCCACAGACAGAGGGTGCTTAGGGATGTTAATGATTAACTGTTAATGTATTAGGCTTACCAGTTATGGTTAACTGGTGGGGGCTGGAGCAGCCCCCTTCCTGCCATGGACAGGTGGCCGACCTAGCACAGGTTGGGCGGGGGGGGGGGGGGGGGGGGGGGGGTGTGTGCC